AACATTATATTTTTATTTCACTAGACTGTTTGTATGCAAGTTTTTGTATTGTTTTTGCGTTACGCAAGATCTCTACAGAAGTTTATTTCACACGTGACGACCTCAAAACTTACTTAGATGAAAAGAAAGTTGAAGTACTACAGCAAGCAGCCGCTCTTTCCGATGACTACACTTTAACACATAAAACCACTATTCACCAGATCACCCAATGAGGAATTTATACCTTTTGTGTCTGTTGGTTCTGTGATACTGGGGCGACTCAATCATTGTTGTTAGAAGGTACAGTATATTGCCTTTAGATTAGAGTTCTGCCACTGGTGAGCCTGTTATTTCTCAGGATATCGAGGGTGGCTTTGTTAATATTCCTCTTCATAACATTTATTTAGCATCAGATCTAATTTCGGGACCAGTTGTGGTTGGAGTAAGACCTACTCTGCCAATTAAGGGTGTATCATTGTTGTTGGGAAACGATTTGGGTGTGGGAAAAGTTGTTGCCGAACCTAAAATGGTTAACAAGCTGATCACTGTTTCATCTAAGGATGATGTTGTCGTTGAGGAGAATTCCGATATGTTTCCCTCGTGTGCTGTGACTCGAGCTCAGGCTAAGAAATTAAGCCAAAAACAAATGATAAACATGGATTCAGAGGGCGATATTATAGATTTGTCTCAGACATTTTGAGGATCCTACGGGGATCTTGTGGATGATCGTTCTACTGAAAATACCTCAGTGAGTGACAATTATGGAAATGAGGGATTTGATTCACCTGGTGAAGTTCCATTTACTAAAAGTAAACTGAATTTAACTCAATTTCAGACCATTTAAAATTCTAATACGTAACACTTATTTTGTGAATATTCTCCAAAAATAATTCCATTGGAATTGGAAAGTTGGTAAAAGCATACCCTCAAAAAAACATATTAAAGGTCAATGTTTATTAACATTCAATAAGAGAGCAACACGAAAAGATATTTCACAGAACTTCTTGTAGTCCCCCGGTGGGACAGATAATTTTATGGACTTACAACTCTAAAATACAGAATTCGATTCGCCGCGGTACACACAGCAAATGTGTGGCTTTACTCTAAAACAAAGAATCCTTGTAACTGGTTCATAAGAAAATATTGAAACATTCACATAAATAAATCGTTTAGTAGAGTGGATTAACTAATAAAGCGCATTACGGTGTTATAAAAAGAAAAAGAAGATTAAGTTTTTATCTCCTAAGTAGATTCAAATATTTTAGGAGACTATAAAAATCAACAAATAATTTAATGATAAAATTTCCTTGATGAGATAAAAGCCCCCCAGTAGCTCAGTTGTAAGTCTAAAGATTTATAACGCTAAAAACCTTGTTTCTATACTCGTTGTGGGCACAGCACACATAGTCCATTACATCGCTTTGTGCTTTAGAATAACAAGCAAATAAACAGACTAGATAAAGATATAATTACAACACTTCAACATATTTACCATGGTATACTAATGTCAAGAAATCCGTGAATATAACTGCATGTTTCCGTTAATTTATTACAATCCTTTAATACATTTTATTGTTTAGTGGCACATCGTTAAACATGGAAGCCCAAATGAATATTTTCAAGGAGAGGTGGGCAAAACATGTATATATATAGGGGATCAGCTTTTACAGTGAAAGTCAACAGACTAAAATAATATGTATTATGTGTGTTTAAACGCAAACACAAATTTACAGTTTTAATAAAAGTTACTAAAAATATTAAGTTTACACCATAATACGTTAATTTTTTTGTAAAATGTAAGGGAGGGGCAAATCCCCTCCCTGCGGGCGTCCATGTCGTGAAATAGTGTAAAGTTCAAATCCTGTATAACACCACAACAAATACAATTAAATGTATTTGTTTTGGGTTTTTTTTTGTATGTGATGGAAGCCCTTTAATTTTTTGTTTACAACCAGTAAATCGTATCCTGTTAAAATATACACTTCAGTAAATTTATGATTATTTACAAACAAAAGGAAGCTTGAATCGAGTTTTGAATTTTTTGTACGATTTTAAATGCAACTGACGAAATACGATTAGCAAAAACAAAAGTTTCCGTTTAGGATTGTTAAATTAAACCAACATAAACATGAATAATTAATTATATTACAATGGTTTAACAAAATAAAATTGTTACTACATGAAAGTATACAAAAGATAGATTGATATAACATAAAACGAAATAAAAATTCGTTAATTCTTCTGAGGTTTCGAACATACTTTTTTTCGTCAAGCATAGCTCTAGAACTTTGTATCACTGATAGTAGAAAATTGATGCCGCTACACGCAAAATGGCAACTTAAAGTTCGTTTCACTAATAATATTAGTAATATAGTGTTACGGTGATTTATGTACTGAAATAATATAGCAATATTGAACTTGTATATTTAATTACATACTTTAATGTTATACGTATTTATATGAATATACCTTATTAGAAATTAAAAGAAGCGTACATTTTACGTAAAAAGTGTCTCTTTGAATCTTATTCCGTATTTCATTTTTTATTTTGTTACTAATTACACTTTTACAAATTACAGTACAATTTACAAACGTTACATTACGTCGTTATTTTACTTTCGTTCTGTTTTTATACAAGTAGGCATACGTATACGTAAAGCACTTAGTACGGTAGTCAATACTACTACTACAATTTGAAAAAGCATATACTTTAGCTTACCGCAATACTGAATTTTAAATTTAATATTAATTCTTGTATATCATATCGCTTTTATCATTGTATACCTATTATGTGACCTAAAATATTTAAATTTTACTTTCTACTTGGTTTGAGTCTGACTAAGCTAGCTTACAACGTGCATATTTTGTAGGCCAAAGACTTAAAATAGAACGATAATTTAACATTATTATTAATGTAATAGACATCTGACTGGTGCCAGAGTATGAGCTGTGTGGTTTGACTTGAATAACCAGGAAAAGAAGGATTATGATTTCAAGATTTTTGGAAGGATATGAAAATCCAAAATTTATTTTAATTGAAGGTACGTATGTACAGTTCTCTTTATAAATTTTAATTAATACTCCTGCACTAGACACTTTTGTTCAAAAAAGCAAAACAAATGCAAAAGATACATTTTTTTTACATTATATTTTTTGTGTGAACAATGAAAACAAACTTTAGACCTTAACAGTCTGCAAAATTTAAAAGCAGCAAATTAAGCATTTTGTGTACTGCTAAATTTTTGATATTTGCATGAATAGTAGTATTCACATGAATAATATTTTTGATAATAATTTTAGATGTCTAACATGGAAGAGACACTTTATTTGTGCATAAACTAAAAAGCAATACTATGGTCAGATTTCAAGAGTTGGCTTAGAAGCACTCGTTTTTACGATGTTTCCCAAGAAAAAAACATTAATATGTGACGACTAGGAAGTTTCTGATGATACTGTTTTGGTTGTAAAATTTCAGAGAAAGAGGTTTATTTAACCATCTCAGCTCCAAAGGAAAGATAACTTTCAACATCATGCCATACCTTCCTGCATATGTCAATATTTAACCATTACAGGTCCAAGTGAAAAAAACACTTTCAGTACCATGCCATACCTGCCTGCATAGATTGTTTGCTATCAATTCTATGTTGTTGTTGTTTTTAATCAGATTTCTCATTATACACAACTTAGTTTCTTTATTTATTAATTCATACTTTATACAAAACTCAAACATTTCTGTACTATTAAAATGTTGTGTACCAGTGAGACAGCAGTAAGTTTACGGACTTACAATGCTAAAATCTGGGGGTTTGATTTCCTGTAGTGGACACAACAGATAGCCGAGTGTGGCTTTGTCTCTAAAAAAACAAACAAAATCAAAAAGTTCATGCACAAATATTAAAATGTATACTATTGTTAATCTTTCATGTTATTATTTTTGTAACATGCCTATCTTAAAGTAAACCAATATATTTTCCAAAATTTCCAAATCTGTTTCAAATCACTTATCTCAGTTCACTAATGATAAATCTTGTCACATTAATTTTCTTTTTCTGGTCATATCTTTCCAAAAACTCAAACAGATTGTAACAGGAAGTTTCTGCAATCCTATAGCCATCTTGAAGACATGAAACAAATCTTCTTTTATTTCCCCAAGTTATGAAAAGAATAATTTTGAGTGCTTAATTCCAAACTCTTACTCGTATATT